CTTTGGTCAGATTTGCTCAGCTTCTCTGTTTAAGTGACCACATAATTGTTCACAAGATTACAATGTTTTGTTTCCAATATGGCCCATTTCACAGAGAAGACCAAGACAGGAAAAAGTTAAATCATTAGCTCTGGTTTCTGTAGCAAGCCATGAGCAAAACTAGCATCATATATTTAAATCCCAAGGCTGTCTGTGGGTTGTTTAATCCACAAATGCATACCACGTTTCTTTATAATGGACGCCCCCAAAAGACTGTAACAATGAAAGATGGAAAAATTCCCTGCAAATTTCCTAAGCTGGGAGGGACAGGGAGAGAGACATAAAGTAATTCGAAAAGCAATGTCATGCCAACTGCATAAGTATAATATAATGCCTCACTGCCAAGGCCCATATAAACATCATTCCCATGTATCCCTTTGGACTGATGACACAAGACACAGCCCATCTGATAAGCTGTCAGCAGATGGCTGGATCCCTCATTGTACTCATTACCCATGGACATAAATTCCAAGCAGGAGCAGTTATCAGCACTCCAGACAACAGATGGGAATGACGAGATGTGGCTGGTCTAAAGTCAGTGGAGTGGAGGGATCGAAAGCCTAGTTCTCAAATCCATCAGGTTTTCTTTACAACAAAGCTGGCATAGAGCAAGTAGAACTCCAATATATTTCTTCAGTGAACTTCAAGAGATAGCATCAAAAGTTCCAAACTGTCCTAAATCTGTGCCATTCCATGCTTTCCTATGAGAAACTAAGAAAATCAAACAGTAAAGCAAAAGCAAGTAAGACATCTCTGATGGAAATCAGACTTCTACTATCTGGAAAAGAAGACAGAAAATAAATAGACAGGCAACTCAAGTAAAGGGCAGGGCTTCCTCAGTATTACTGGCTAAAACCAAGCAGTCTGGGGCTCTGGGGTTAAAAGCATCGTTTGTTATTTGCCATAATGTATAGCTTTCATCCAGGATATCTTATGCACAGAGAGACATGCAGGCAGCATTCACTGTCATGTGCTCTAGTCACTAAGTCTGGCACCTAATCAGAAGATGTTGATGCAGATGTTGATACGGAACCAAAAGGAAATGGGTTGTTAGAGAAGACATCCCAAATGGGTGTGTTAAGTTCCTAAAACAGAGACAATATAATTGCATGGAAGGGTGAGAAAGAGCCACTCATTTAAGACGACCAGTCTGTATGAATGCAATCAGTCAAATTGGCAATTTTTTCAGTCTGCTGAGGAACTGCAGATTTTCAGATGTAAATAGCTATAAGAATCTCTTCCTGCTAAAGTCCTGCTAAAGCCCCAATTCCCACAGTGGCCGCTCACTTCTAAAGCCACAACAACTACTAACTTCTGCGGAGATTTTTGGTAAGCAACCTAATTAAGCATTCAATCAAATTCATTCCCAGTCACCCCTATCTGCCTAAATAACATGTACACAGAAACAAGCCGTGCTGGAACAAACAATTAACCATGTCATTGGCAATGCCACAATACATACAGCAGGGGGGGTTGTTTAATAGTACAGCGCTAATAAACCCTGTGCTTGCTGGGCCTGAGAACCCTCCAACACCTCATTGAGTTCAGATGTGACATGGTGCTGCTCTCTTAATCCACAGTCCCGAGACCTTGGAGAAAACAGAAAAAGAAGCCCAAGAACCAGAATATTATTCAAGAACAGAAAATAGGCACAAGCACTGCTCTTCTGCCCCTAAGCACCACTAGGAGTACTCCCTACTTTATCCAGCCCCCCATCACTGCCCTTCCTGGTGCTTATGATTCTGATGTTGGCAGTCACCCAAAAGCAGAATGGCCATGATGAGGGTCTGTTTACTTGCCTTGGGAATAAATATTTTACAAACTAAAAAATGGGAGCTGAGGCTGAATTACTAATTCCCACCAGCCCTTCTATTTCCTGGCCTGAAGCAATACCACCCTTGTTTGAAACTTATCGGGACTCGGAGAAACAAAATCTTTCTATGTCAAAGTCAACTCATCTTGGTCAAAGAGACATATTTCTGCTAAATTATCCCTTTAGTTTCAACTAAAGCTTCCCTTTCCTTACCAAGATCCCTGAAATCCACAGAACTTACTACCATAATAAACCCTAATTCACTTGCCAAAGCATGACTTCGTAGTTGATCTCTGCCCTTTTGAGTATACAGCCACAGAAAACATTTTAATTTTCTTGCTCTGGGCATCAGTAAATCTATCCAATGCTAAATAAGAGGAAGCATGTGAAAGTGCCTTATGTACAGTAACATCCTAGATAAATGTAAGGTATTATTAACCATCCTTACTATCCTTAGTCATTGCTGCAACCAGTCAGAAAACTGTTGCAACCATCTGTTGTTCAATTTTGTTTTTAAGGACTCACAGCAACTTTTTAAAAGCTATACAAGTCTGCTTCCCAGAAAGAAGCACAGGTATAGCATAGAATGTTGGATCTATCTGAAGCCAAATGCCCATGTAGGTCAAAGGTCCCTATTTAAATGAACCAAAGCTGTAATTTGGGAGTCAAGGGCAAAGGGACCTGATCCAAGAGCTACACAAAACTTCTCAGCCAGTGTGTCTTCTCTACCTCCCTAAAGCTTCAGAGTTCTGGCTTCAGAGTTCAGGACAATAGAAGACAACACAGGTGAGGAGGATATCATGGGCCCTAAACATTCATCTCTATCTGCAACAGCATGCAGATGCAAAGCTGGCAGATGATTTCATCATCCTCTGCAAATGTTCCGAACAGTGACTTGGGCAGGCTGACTTTCCTGGGGTCATACGGGGAACAAAGATGAACAAGGATGAAAATATAGAGCTACATGACCTCGCCAAAGAAGAAACTGTTTTTTCTTGATAAAGCAAGTTAGTTATTACTGAAATTTATTTAGAAAGATGTGAGAGGGAAGAGAGAAAGAAGCATTTGCTCGAGAACACAGGCCTCACCAGAGTGGAAATAAGCAGCAAAGAAACAAACAGGCGAGATTCATGTTCAACGAAGAACATGGGCTCAAATAGCAAAAGGAGAAGAAACTATTTTCCTTTTCCTATACAAGGAGTCCAGAAGCATTTCTAGATTAACCCTGGGCTATACTTCCCAAGAATCCCCCAACACGCACACTGTCAATACATAGAAGACTCCGCCTTTCACTGCAGATGGGTGAACTGAGGCTCAGGGAATGTATGTTCCCCAAAGTCACACAACTCATTAATGCCAGGACTAAATCTCCTGCATCTTCTAAAAGCCTCTAGAAACCTTTCTACTAAAAAGTCTGGTGCTGCCAGGTGTGACGTCATCACACCAGCAGCAGCCCCAGATGGGCTGAATTTAGTCCTTTGTTGACCTTCGAGATATATGGGTGCCAGAGGCCTCAAGACCCCTTTGTAAAAGAGGCCCCCTATGACCCTCACCACCTGCCATCCCCAAAAAAGCACTCCTGTCCCAAGAACAGTGGCTGAGATGTGTTGTTTCTTCTCATTAACAAAAAGCCCATTCATAAATAAAGAGAAAGAAAGAAAGAGGATTGGCTCAAATTTAGACAGAAGATCTAGCTAGGAGAGCCCCAGGCTTCCTTTGAAAGGCACCACTCCTCAAAAGCCTGCTCTTTAAAAAAAATAGCTGCCCACTCCAGTCCCACTCGATGCCAATCAATAAGAGCCTCCTTATTTCAAAGCAATCCGCACCTTCCTGCCCCATCTGCAAGACAGGAAGTAGATTAAAGCTATTCACCACATCTCACAGACTGGGAAACTGAGGCCAGAATCCTAACAATCCAGTGAGATCCAGCGAACACAGAAGAGTTGAGCTCCAATGAGACAACCAACACCACGCTGATCAGCCTTCCCGCCAAGGCTTCAACAGCCTTCAATCTGAAAAGGGGGTGGAGGCAGAGGGCAGCTGCTAATTTGTCTTTTGGCTGCAGGCAAATGACCTCTCCAGGCCCCAATAGGCCTATAAAAAAGAGCTAATCACCTCAACCTCCTGCCTCCACATAGGTTATAGTTCTAGCCTTTCCTATATACAAAAGCAATGGGGATGCTAATGACAGGTTTCAGAACTGCCCAGCAAAGATACCAGCTCTGCAATCTAAAAAAAGAGGTTGTTTCCCCTTTCTCTTTCTCATCCTCCTCCTCATCCATGTCCTCCTCCTCCTCCTCCATGATTTTATAGTTTTAGAACATCTCTCCACACAGGCTGAGTACAGAAAGACAACCTCACTCTTGGTCCTCACTCAGATTATTTTTATATATCTGGCAACTTTCCTTTTCGATCCCATTAGTTTTTCTTAGCGCCACTAATAGGAGGTAAAGAAAGCAGCTCTCTAAGCGTCCCCTGGACCATGACCACAGGAGAGAGAATAAGAGTGATAAGACAGGGAGGCATGCATAAAATAAATACCCTCTCACCACAGATAGAGGTCACCAGTCCCAAAGCAAGTCCCTGCCCCTGGGCTCAGCGTGCACTAGTGGGAACTGGGGGTTGCTTCAGTGCCATTCAGAGGCAGACCTCACCCACTCAGAGCATTCATCCCCAAATGAAAATGTGATTCGGAGAAACCCATAAAAGTATTTCCCCTAGTCCCACAGTGGAGACAAGGAACCTTACGCGACCACCTCCAAGAAAGAGTGTCAACAGGCCTCTGAGTAATTAACTTTTGGCAGGACGGCTGGGGCACAGTGGACAGGCATGAGATTCCAAAAGGGTCACCTGGTTGGGGAGGCACTTTCTGCTTGAGAGAGGCCAGGGCAGGTCTGCGCTGGGTCATGGGCCTGAGTGCCAGTGGTTCCTTGGGCTTAGGCAGTATGTTCCCCACCTCCACTGTGGGGCTGATGCCTCGTGCAAAGGTGCAGGAAAGGCAACTCTGCGCAAAGACAGCCCCGCATTGGCAAATCATGTCTGACCGTCCCACTTCCCCGGGAGCTTAGGTGCTCTACCCTGCTGAGTGTCCTGAGCACAGAATTGACTTAGCATTTAAGGTTGCCCAGGAAAAAGTCAACGCACTCACATGCATCATGGTGACCAGGTGACAGGGGTTGAGCAGGTAGATGACGGTCTTGGTGGCGAACTTAAAGCCCACCTCTACCCCGAAGGTCAGGCACAGGGCTACTAAGAGCAGATTCTTGCTCAGGCTCTCCTTGCCTTCCTCTGGCCGCTGGGTCACCTGCTCTGGCTGGCAGCCTCGGCTATCCCTACCGTCCTCCTTCGTCTGCCTCAGGATGTGCCGCAGGGCCACCAGGATCTCCAACAGGGCCAGGGTCAGGACCACCACACTTTCCAGCAGCCGCTGCTGCCAAGACAGGAAGGCAGCACAGTCGGGGCCCCCATTGCCTGCAAAACTGGGGTCCACGCCCCCATACAGCCAGTCCAGGAGACTTTGGTAGCTATACCGGGACATGCCGCCAATTGGCTCCCCGACCACCGCCGTGCAGTACACAAGAATGAGCTGGAAGACGGGCCCAGAGGGTGGCCCGGGTGATGGGACATGTAAAGAGGGCACACCCCCGCACCCGCACCCCCCTCCGGACACCCAGCCGAGGGGAAGCTACACGCGAGGCCCGGGGCAAAGTGCTGGCTCTAACTTGTCCCCTCGGCTGTCTGGGGAGCCCCCCGCGCTTCTCCAGTGGCCACCAACGAGGAAGGGTGGAAACGAGCCGTTGGCCAATCTAAAAGGAAGGAGAGGAAAAAAAAAAAGGTCTCAAAGAGGCAATTGCATCGGGAATTACGAAGCAGGGAAGGGTAACGAGCAGGGAGGGAAGAAAAGGGGAACGGGGCAGTGGTGAAGCAAGCGGGGAGCAGGGAGGGTCGGGGAGGGCTGAAGGGACCCCCGCGGTGCCGCGGGAGTAAGCGGCGGGGCGGAGGGGGGAGGTGGGAAGCGGTGCGGGGGAAGCGGGGGAGGGGGGCAAGGGGGCGGAGAGTGACCCCTCGAGGAGGGGACGTGCGGAGGCCAGGACAGGGGCCAGGGGAGCCGGGCAGGCGGGGAGGGCGACGGGGAGGGCAGGAGCTCCTCGTCTCACGCACTCGCCACAGGGGAATCGCTTACTCCTGCAACCGCGTGGCCGTCTCTGCCCCCAGCTAGCAACTTCGCCGTCGACGGGCCCTTCAGCCAATTTAGAGCCGTCCCGGTCCAGCCGCCTGCCGCCGGGTACACCCCCGAGCTCCCAGCTCCACCCCACGGCCCGGGCCGCCCGCCCTCCGGCCAGCACCTCCCCCCAGCCGGCCCGCCCGGGACCTGCCCCCCTCGCGCCGGCCAGCCTGGGCGGGAGGAAGCCGGAGGGCGGGCGGGAGGCCCGGCCAGCCAGGGGCTGGGCTCCAGCCGGCCCCGTCCCTCCACCCGCCCGGGCGCCGCATCTTCCCGCTCCCCGACCCCACCCCAGCCCGGACCCCCGGGGAATGGTCGCTGCATCCCTCCAGGCTCCACTTACCGGCAGCTCAGCCCGCGGCTCGGGCTCGGGCGACCGCTCGGCTCCCGCGCGCCCCGCGCCCCAGCGCTCGCTTCCCCGGCGGCCGTAGCCGCCGCCGCCGCTGCTGCCGCTGCCGCTCACGGCTCCTCCTCCCGGTCTTCCTCCCCCTGCAGCAGCCGCTCTCGCTTCCTCCTTCTTCCCCTCCCTCTCTCCACCCCCTCGCTGCCTCCGCCTCCCGCCGTCCGTCCGGCGCTGCTTCGCCCCCCACCCCCCCCGCCCTCGGACCACAACTCCCCCGCCTCGCCTCCTTCCCGTTTCAGCCGCGGTCCAGGCCCGCACGGCTCCTACCCCTCACACCTCCCACCCGCCCTCCTTTCCGCGGTCCCTACCCCCCCCACCGCGTCCTCAATCTCCGCCCCCCCCACCCCGGCCTGCCTCGCCTTCTGTGCTCTTCAGCCCGCACGCGTGCACAAGCACCTTCCTCCCCAGCCCCGTGCACCACTCGCCTCCTCCAGAGCTTTGAGGAGTGACTCCACCTGAGCCGCTCCAGGGGCTGACTGGCACGCATCTGCACCCCAGACACCAGGGAAGCACTTAGCCAGCCCTCCCGAAGTTCCTGGGGGAATGAATAAGCCTGTCCAGAGACAAGCTCTGCTTTGGGGGTAATTGTTGGCGATGCCCTGCTCTTCGCTTCTCCTCTTTTCTACCCCGAGCGCCCCCACCCCACCCCAACCCCCAGCACCACCAGGAAAAGTATGAGAGCAGGAGGGCGTCGTTCTCTTACCTATCTGGCCACAGCACCACTTCCCATTTCAATGCCTAGGTCAGAAGCATCTTCTGGTTGATCCTCTCTCTCTCGCTCTGGTCCTGTATTTGTCTCTCTACCTCCGGCCACGCAGCCCACTCCTGACGCACCCTCTCAGGCCCTCCTTCGTTTCTCCGGCCACGCCTTCTCTCGCAGACTCGCTGAAAGGAAAGAAAAAAATCCTTCCCCTGATCTCTTGCCCCCACCCTCCCACCCTTGAAAGGAAGCGGCTGCTTCTCAACCTGCTCCTAGCAGCCAGGATCATGTGGGTGCAGAGGGACCCAAGAATCAGATAAACTCTGCTGATTGAGACCAGGTTCCTTCAGCCCTGTTGCTTTCCACCTATAGACTGTAGGTTGCTTTTCTTGGGATAGGAAAAATGGGAAACGGACCTTTCTGTGAATCCATCTCCTGTGGGTTTCAGCGTATTGGAGACTCACAGTGCTTTTAGGACAATATCCAGCAAAACACACTTAGGCACCTTGCCTAGGAAACACTTTTGGGTGTTGGTTGCCTGCCAGATTCACAACATAAAATACAGTAGAACTGTATTGTAAGACTGTCATCCTCACACCCTTTTCAATTCTGCTTTTCCTGACAAATACAGCCTATCTAATCCTAAGCCTTGCACAGTATTTGGCATGCTGTTCTTCAAGTGTTAATTAATAAGGATCAACAAGAGGCAGGAATTGATTCAGACTCTGGCTTGTATTTTCTCCTGAGATTTCTTGCTAAATCGTCTACAACATAACCCAGGAACATTCAGGATGTGGCTGTGGAGCTCCTGGTGATGGAATGCAACATCTGGATACCTCAAGTTACTCTCTTCAAGGAAGGAAGCATGAAGTTATAGCACTCATTAACCGGCTTCATTAATGACTCTGATTTCCATGCTGAACTTCAGTTGGAAATTTGGCTTTAATGACTATAACCAAGCCAACATCCTCACTTAGCCAGGAATGCCTTTTGTTTTTTCTCATAGGCAGAATGGCCACGCGTGTTTATGACCAGGATTCTAATTCCCTGTCTGCTTTCACTACCCTAGCCCTGTCGCCTATGCAGTTTCCTTAACCCCCTGCATGTCCCTCAATTTTCAAACTATTAATATAAATGTTACTGGTGATCTATTATCTTAGTTCTAGGACTACGTTTATTTAAGAGAGTCAAATTAGATAGACCATTATGAAATATCTGCCATATAAGAGCTCAATACATGCTACCATTCCAAAACTGTGTATGCCTGCATGCCTGTGTGTGCATGCACATGTGCATATGCACTCAGATTCAGTGTCATTCATCACATCTGCATAAACAATCCACAATCCTACTCATCCTTCAAAGCCCACGTAAAATTGCACTCTTCTCAACACCAACCCCCAGCTCCTTGAACAGTCTCTCTCTCTCTCTCTCTCTCTCTCTCTCTCTCTCTCTCATTCTCCCCATTTCTATAGCATTAGTTGCCTGCACTATTCACTTTATTCTGATTCACCTACTGTCTGTTTTTGTTCTCCCCTCATTAGCCCTGTCTCCTCAGATCTTTGGCGGCAGAGGGTGATGGACCTTAATCTTTTCTAATCCCCCACCCCAGCCAGCACCTAGCAGAAAGGCAAACATGAGGAGATTGCTGATCCCATAGGTAAAAAACTAGAGATAATTGAGTTGAAAACTGTGTGTCAAATTTTGGAAACTAAAAAAGCCTCTGACAAATGTCTCTCTTATTTGCTAGCTGGGGCCCTGGCCAAAGTCTTCTTTTCTCCAAACACTAACAAGAGTAAATGAATTTTGCTGTTGAAGTCAAGCCCTGCAATACCGTGTAACAGAACTCTGAAAATGGTCCCTTCCATCAGTCCTGGGAGAAAGAACATCTCTCCGTGCTTCAGTGTACACAGTGCATTTAACTAGGTTCTTTTTCAGACTTGTTTCTAAATTATCTGGAGCCTCTAATATTCTCTGATTCTTCGGAATTTCACCTTTTTGCCTTTTCATCCAAGTCAAATTTAAACCTTAAGGAAGAAGGGGGATTAACTGGCATGGTATTGTGAAATCCCTTTGTACCTCCAAGTCCTTGGACCAAGTTAGGGACTTCAGGATCTGGATGTGGTTCAGTGATAGAGTACATGTTGCATATGGGCTTTCCTAGAACCTATTCTCAGTCTGGTTTTCATGTGCCTCCCTCCCTCTTCCATTCTTTCTGCGTTCCAGCTCCATCTTAGTTTCCATCACTCCTTCAGTTGGGTCCCCTACCTCCCCAACCCCACTGCCTCCCCCACACATGCATTCTATTCCCAAATTCCAATCAATTCCCCCCCCCACTGGCTCCCCTATTGGGTTCTATCAAGAGCACCACAAAACAAAGAACCTCTCAAATGACCTCCTGTGGAGTGGAGTCAGAAATTATTGCCACTGTTATCCCATTGAGGCTCAGAAAGTGATGTCACTTGCCTATGATCTGCAAGTAAGCTGCAAAGTGAGGATTAAAATGTGGGGCTCAGTAGCATGGATCAGAGCAAGATTGTTCTCTTAGACTTGGCCATCTGCATTTTTTCTTTCTGCATTTTTATATTCTTTGAGTCCATTCCTGCCCCTCTACCTACAATTAGTCCCCAAAGTGAAGTGCATTATCATTCAAAGCAAAAAGTATTCACGATCCCAATATTATATAAAGTACTATCAGTCAAAATAAACTTTATGAGAGTAAATGAAGGGAGAGATATTTTTCCTGATCCAAGTCTCTGTGTATTATATCTACCCTCTCTCACACACTAATTCATCCAACACCAGCCTTCATTCCACAAATATTTACTGATATGTGTATACAAATATATGAGACATGTGTAATTTTTACCTTCAATGAGTTTAATATCAGCTAGGGAGATGGCACTAAGAAGAAAAGTTAGGTAATAGCATATGAGGGGAGGGGCTGAAGTGATAGCACAGCGGGTAGGGCGTTTGCCTTGCATGCGACCAACTCTGGTTCGATTCCTAACATCCCATATGGTCTCCCGAGCACCACCAGGAGTAATACCTGAGTGCATGAACCAGGAGTAACACCTGTGCATTGCTGGGTGTGACCCAAAAAGAAAAAAAAAGCATATGAGGAGAAATCACATACAAAGCAAGGAAACAAGAGTTGCTGTCACTGAAAATCCTGCATATGGAAAATGAACTACACAGACAAGGAGGGCAAGGAGGGAAGGAGAAATTCAGGGATAGCTGAGTACCAGGAAAAATTGTAGGTGGGCAGCCATGTGGTCTTTTGACGTCCCGTGGAATCCAGTCCGTAACGGCTCTAGTTCAGCGGTCATCTCCAAATCTCATTAAGTGACCAGCCCATCTGATTTTCGATACCTTGGCAAACGAGACAGAGTCCCTGATTCTCGACCATCTATGGAGGTCAGAACTACTGACTCTTTCTCTCATTTGAGTGAAACGTGATACTGCAAGCATAGATTCCTCTTTGGGGCCCAAGTCTCTGAGGCATATGTTAATGCAGGAAGAACAGTGGAATAGAAGAGATGTGCCGGGAGCCAGAAGTTCTTTGTCCTCTTAGCTATTTCTTCGACGCTCTTGAAGGTATTCCAAGCCACTGTCTTCCTCCTGCACAACTCAGGTACCAGGTCATTCGTCATGTTGACTTCTCGACCTAGGTACACATAACTTTTGCATTCAGAGATGGTCGTTCCGTTGAGAGTGAATGGAACATCAGGAATGAGACTGTTTCTCATAAACATTGTCTTCATGAGATTCAGCTGGAGTCCTACCTTTCCACACTCACGGTCAAAGTCGGCCAGCATTTGTGCCACTTGGCTAATGTTTGGTGTTATTAGAACGATGCCATCAGCAAAGCAGAGGTGGCCGCCCACCTACAAGATGGTCAGACTTCTTCGTCAAGACCCTGAACGATCGGTTTGAGGTTCTTCGTGTTCCTAGGATGAACAGACACCATTGGG